TTGACATCTTTTCGTTGAGAAACACTTCGTCTTTCGGTGAGGTCCCAGACAGATGAAGCAGAGGCCATTGCTTATGACCACGCTGTTCCTCTTTACTGGAGGCAACTCCCTGAATTTCTGGCACTCGGAGATAAAATGTTTTTCCTTACACATGGCACAACAGTTTCTCGGAAGAAGCCTCTCAGCGTTGCTGTCTTGTTGAGTAGCTGCTGCGTAAGAGCTCTTCTTCTTCTTCAGTGATTTCCTGTCGGCGATGTTGGTTTCCTGTGTTGCATGAAGCTCTGATCCTGCGTTGATTCTTCTGCCGCAGGCTTCGACGAATCCGACGAATTCCTTCAGACTGGGAAAGTCTCTGGAGTCTCCCAGTTTCAATTCCCACTGCTTGAGGGTTTCTGCATCTAATGATCTCCTCAGCAGGTGGGCGATCATCTGTTCAATTAAGTTCGCATCTGAGAGACCGACTACCTCTCGTAGCTGGTCTAGCGACTCGACTGCTGCTGCTGTGTTGTGGTTGAGTTTCTCCTGAGTGGCCTTGGTGATTTTTGGTAGCTCCAGTATTCGATTGAACAGGTACTGAGCCACCAATCTTGGATCATCGTATTTCGCCTTGAGCTTTTGCCAAGCCTTTTCATAATTCTGGTCGTTGATGTCCAATGTCGATATGAGAGTAGCTGGAGGTCCTCTGAGGCTGCTTTTGAGCCTAATCAACTTCTCCACTGGTGCGATTGTTGATTTGCTACCGACCAGCGAGGTGAAGAGATCTCTGAATTCCTTACACTGGGATGGGGTGCCGTCGAAAGCCTTCAAATCCAGACGTTTGAGCTTGTCTGGGTGTTCTTGGCCTGGTGAATTGCTTGCTGGTTGAGTTTTCTTCGACAGCCGACCTTTCAGCTTACTGATGAGCTTTATACTTTGCTCCTTTGTGGCAGCTGTCGGTTCGAAGATTCCTTCAGTCAAGTAGGAATGATCGTGAGGGAGATATTCGATTACGCCTTCCTGCTGTGAGTGAAACTCTGCCCAGTAGGTCTCAAGGATTTCTTTCTGTTCATCCAGCTCTTCCACGGTGACGTCCTCGTCATTTATGATCGTGGTGGTGAGCTCCTTATAAATGTGGGTGATGCTCTCCACTCTGAACTTTAGCTGCCTCAGTAAAATCTCTTGATGCACAGTGAGACCTGCAGCGGGTTTCAGCCCTATCACCTCCGAGTATCTCGTCTTGATGTGCTGAATTCGTTGAGTACTCGGGATGTTGGCTTCGTCTTCAGTCTCGCTGATTACAACTTTCGGAATTGTTGATGGTGAAGGTTTTTTCTTCGTTGGTTGTGCCGCTGCGCCTCTAGCATCTTGCTGATTATCTACGGCTTGTTTTTCAATTTCGGTATCTGGATCAGACATGATCATGTAATTGAAAGTCTACTTGCCTGAGAATTCCTTGTTGAGTGGCTTCGGATGTCGGTGATGTATCGACTGTCGATGCGTTACCAACCATTGACGTACTGTCGATGCGTTACCGACCGTAGACGTTTGCGTTGTGTTGGTAAGGCGTCGCTTGGGAGGCCGCCTGTTGCTGAGCGCACTGGCCCAGCGTTGAGGTCCTTCGGCAGTACTCGTAAATCCCGAACTCTCACGAACCTTTTCACCACTTTGAGACGCTGATGTTTACACTTCGGATTACCGCCAAGAGAAAACAATAGCACAAATACTCTTTGTCCGTTGAGACTCTATCCGTTGACCGACTCGTGTAGACCCCGAAAGTTCGTTACACGAGGCGTCTTTTTAAATTCACCCGAATCCGATCACATTGATTACTCCCAAATCCGGCTCGAAGGACCAATGTTTGGTGAGGAACTAGATTTAGGGTGGATTGGGAGGTTAGAAGATCGTCGGTGTGAAATAATTGTTGAGAGTCTTGACCTAATATGAACGTTAATTTATTCTCGGGTTCAAACCACGCTTTGTCAAATTTACAAAACACCTTGTCACTAGTTGATCGTACTGAGTTAATTTAATTGTCTATAGTTTTTGCACTGTTGAGTCACTGGTTAAATGGCCAATAAATAACGTGATTTTCTTTTTACTGAATTTCTATCGCCGAGCTAATAGACGTTAATGTACTGGACGTGTCTACACTCTGCGCGTTACTCAAATACGGAGTTGAACTCTAATCAAAACGGATTATATGGCCGATCGTTTTATACTGACTCGCGTTAATTTACGGTGACTCTACTAGACCTGAGCGTTGACCCGGAAAAGACCGATGATTTTCGTAATTGGCCGAGCTGATCGACCTTGGTCTTGGAGAGCTTGGGTTACGTTTCAAACAGACCTTTTTTGTAGCTCTCATTATTCCCTACAAAAAAGGTCTTTACAAAAATTTTGCTATCTCTCATGGATTCCTAGATATTTCTCAAAAACTGATCTGTTCTGCAGGAAAATCCACTAACAAAGTCAATTTCACTTAAACTTTAGTTTTTGATGAATATTTCGAGATCTAATAGAGATATCGAAATTTTCGTAAAGACCTTGTTTGAAATTCAGCTATTCAAACTAGTCAAACGGTCACCGGGCTCAACGAAAATCTCGAGAAACTTCGGGACCCTTCGGGATCACAGTCAACTACGAAGAAAATTCCCGAAAAAGTCAGTAGTATCGCTCTAGCCACCGAGAGAGTCACTCTAATCACAGTACTGTATCGCCGTAACCGCTCAATCGAGTACATCACCGGAGTACATCAACGCGATACATTTGAGTCTAGCGCTCCGTACAACGTCTCTATTTAATTCAATTCTACTATCAATTAATTCCGAGTTACCTATCAATTATTTTGAGTCAATCATCAAGTTCAATATCGAGAGAATCTCAAGTGCAGTGCATTTTTAAATCATCATTTAATTGACTTTGTCGAGCAACTCAATAGTGTAACATTATTTAATTTATCAAGACGCGTGGGTTATTCCACAATAAAGTACATCAACAGTGTGGTTTTATAATTCCGCGTGTTTTAATTTTCCACCTCCTTCCACAATTCCACTTTTCCCCGACCGGCATCTCAATTTAGCTTCAATCTCAAATAGACCTTTTCTGTAGAGCAGTATGACAGCTACGGAAAATGTTTCTATGAAAATAACCCTATTCCCCCTAGAATCCGAGATATCCACCAAAGACCGAAAATCACCCGTAAAGCCACTCTTTCTCACTAAAACAGAAATGTCAGAATTTAAAATTGTTCTCTTCATCTATGGATTTACTTTTTGATAAATATCTCTAGTCTAATTGACATGACGGAATTAGGTGGAATAGCGCTTGCATTCATTTGTATTTACTCTTCATTCATTTATCTATGCAGCAATCACAAGAGTGGGAAAAAGAAGAGAAGTTGTATCAAGGAATACTTCAAAAAAGTGGGTCCATCATCAAGTCGTTGCCTTTTTTGCAATGAAATTGTGAAAAATCAGGGGAATACTACTAATTTATGGAATCATGTCGAACGTAACCACCCAACACATTTTGAAAAGATCACAACTTCTGCAGCTTCTCATAGTCCACACGATTCTGGTAAACAAAAGAAAAGGAAGGTGATGTCTCCAGTTCATGCTCCCATTAAATCAACAGTTAAAAAGGTATAATGGAAAAGAATTATCCATTTTAAAGATGATGAACCCAATCGATTTTGCCCCGTGCTTCCGAGAACGATTTCGAAGGTAAAACCGTGAAAAACTATGTTTTCCGTAGAAGTATAGATCAAAATCAATTGGGTTCATCATTTTTCCCACTTTTTAATCTAACAACGATATATATGGTTCTAGATGAAAAACCGCAGAATTGACGAGACGTTCAATAAATTGAATTCTTTATCAGGTGAGTGGCCATCTGTTCAATATATTTATCCCATAAAAGAGCGCAATCATTGAGCAAATTTGATTTCCAGAAGGCGGGTCGATGGCAACCCAATTGACAAATGCGATACTGTATTATATTGCTAAAGATCATCGGCCATTATCTTCAGTTGAGGATGAAGGATTCTTGAATTTGATGCGTGTTGCTCAACCAAATTACAAAGTCCCTAGCCGAAGGACGATGACAAGGTTAATGGAACTTAAATATAAGGAATTCACTGAGAAACTGAAGAGTGACCTGGCATCAGTGGATTCTCACGTATTAACTTGTGATTGTTGCAGCGACTGCAAAAATCAAAGCTACTTAGGGATTACAGATCACTACCTATCTCCAGATGTGGCTCTGCAGTCAGCGATTTTGGGAGTCTATCCACTTGACGAGCGCCATTCGGGGGACTATTTGGGTCAGAAACTCACGGATGCTTTGGAGACATACGATGTAAAATTATCGGATGTAACCGCCGTTGTCACCGACGGAGGAACGAACATGATCAAAGCGGTGCAAGATACGGTCGGTTTATCGCGTCATGTGATTTGTGTTGCCCATAGTTCAGCGCATGTCGTCCCTGATGCGCTGAAACCCATGGAAACTCTTCCAAACATTATTGATGGTGCAAGAGAGATCGTCAAAGCAGTCCGTCGGAGTGTCGTGTTAACTGACCACCTGAAGAAGCAGCAAAAAAGAGAAGGTGCTAGCGATGGAAACTTGCTAGTTCTGCTGATGGACACTCCCACAAGGTGGAATTCCACGTATGAAATGCTCAGATGTTTTGTCGATATGAAATCATTCGTAGCCACCACTCTCCTGGAATCGAATACAAGGCTAGAACTCCCTCGACGTGATGAAATGGAGATGTTGGATGAGGCAACCCAACTCATGAAACCCCTCAGGGATGCAATTATTGAACTCTCAGGTCAGAAATACGCCACTGGAGGCACAGTAATCCCAGTGACGCGTTGTGTCAAAACAACTCTTGAGAAAATGACTCCAATCACAGTAACTGGGCAACAGTTGCAGGAGGCGCTGTTGAAAGCCTTGGACAAGCGTTTTCGCAACATTGAAGATAATGAGGTGTTGGCAATTTCGACAATTCTGGACCCTCGATTCAAAAGAGTCCACTTTGAATCAGCTTTGTCAGCCGCTACTGTTATTGGTAAAATTGATCGATTCATGAAGGCCGAAGCCAGGAAGGATCGGTCGAAACCACGACAAGTGAAAGAACCTGAGTTAGGGGCGGAGCCCAGTCTCTGGGACTATCACGAGGAATTGGTAACTAACAAAGTGCTGTCTGCCGATGTCAGTTCAGCAGCTTTTCACGCAGAGTTAACCCAGTACATCAGTCAAGGGGTAATCCTAAGAGACAACGATCCAATCCAATACTGGAAAAGTGTTGGGCAAGGCTTTCCACTGTTGTCAAAAGTCGCGATGAAGTTTTGTAATGTGGTAGGGTCATCCGTACCTTCGGAGCGTCTTTTTTCCACAGCTGGCAATGTTGTCACCGATTCTCGTAATCGACTGACGGGTGAGCATGTTAACATGCTGGTTTTTTTGGGATGTGTACCTCAACATTATTGGGATTTGGTTTAATTATTCATCTCGTTCTACTTTAAAAAAAACAGCTTTGGCCTCGTGCAGCTATTCATATTTTGTTAATGAATGTTGAATAATTTTATGAAGAGAATATATGTTCTTGCGATGTCATGCCGGAAATGACAATCTGTTTTTTTCCCATTCATAATCTATGAGAATGATAAAATGTTCTAAATAAAGTTTCTTATATTATTTCATCTCCCCTTCAGCACAGCTTTTCACTTCCTTCCTTCTCGACTCCTTCTGGCCCTTCCTGGCCCCCTTATGGCTTCAACACTTTCACCCTCGAATGTACAATTATCCTGAGAGCTAATTTGATTTTTTTTTCCAAAATGCTACACAAGGAGAGCTCATGAGGGGAAATGGAACCAGATAAATGACTGTTGCAACTCGTGAAGGATCCATGATACGTACGACCATTTAACAATGTCGTGGTCAACATCCTAATTTTATACCTACCATCAACTTATCCGACTCTTGATAAGAAACAAAATCAATATACATACATATATTTATAGAAAAGTCTATTTATTACAAAGCAAAACTAAATATAAACGAAACATTGAATGATTTGCGTAGCGAAGTGTTAATAAGACAATTAAGTTAATAGGTGAGTTTTCGAGGAATATCGCTGAATCTCAAGAAGATCGCGCCATTTTCGTGAAGATCTTTTTCGTAGTTCTCATTCCGCTCTAGAAAGAAGATCTTTGAAAAAAATCCGCTACCTCTCTCTAATTCAGGGATATTACTCGAAAACTTTACTAGGGGACAAGTTAACTTGGTGCCATTCACCACTCCGCTACTGATTTGGACGATTCTAACATTAATGTGAAAAATATTCAATTTTTCTTCATTTTTTAAAATTAAAAATCGATTCACCAATTTTTTCCGATTTTTTTCACGGAAATCGATTTTTTAAAGATCGATTCTTCTTGAAAATCGATTCTCCAGGATCGATTCTTTTTTAGAGAATCGCCCATCACTAATTACAAGTCATAAAATTGATTTCCTTCGTGATTTACGCATTGCTCCCAGAAACTAATTTTTCGGAGCAAAGAAATCACTGATTTGATGAATAATGGAGCACAAAAACATCAATAACAATTCCTTCGGTGAAAATATCGGTAATGATATTCGGTATGTCCCGGATTTGTCCCTAAAATTTCAGTTGAAAAAAAAAACGTTTTCGAGTACACGGAAAAAAGGAAACGGTGATTTCTTCGAGATCTACACTAAGGGGTATGCCTTAGATGACAAAAACCGGCGTTTTCACTGCGAAAATCAGTGGAAAATGTAAATTTTCATAGTGAAGGTGTCAGAAACTCAGTAAAAAATGTCAATGTTTCACAGTAAAGTTATCAATTTTATCAGTGAAATCGTCGGTTTTTGCAATCCGTCATCGAATTCAGGTTGATTGTACTCATTTTAAAGCTTTTTCGATTAGCTCCAAATGTTTGGGAAGAGAAATTCGATCCATAATGATTGAATTCAATTGTCTCACATTGTTCTCAAACAATCAAAATTCAAATGAAAACAGTGAAATTTTTTGAAAAATCACAATCGGCGAGAAAAAATTTTCATCACTCTGCAAATTTTATGAGAACTTGGTCTTATGATCTTCTTCTCAGAAAAAAAATCATCCAGACAATCGGGAACAAAGAAGAAAGGAAATTAATTTTTTAAATAAAAAAAATTCCGTCTTTGGAAGATCTTCGGAAAATTTTTTGGAAGATATTTCGAAAGATTATTTGCAAGATCTTTTCTGTGTCGCAGAAAGATTATTCGGAAGATGAAAATTTGTCTTCGGAAAATCTTTCAAATATAATGCGAAAGATCTTTGGAAGATAAAAATTTGTCTTCGAAATATCTTCCAAAAATAATATAAAAAGATCTTTGAAAGATCATTAAAGATGTTTTTTACAGCTCTAAAATTTGGGTCTTATTCTGGACCTGACCGCATTTTGGCGTAATTTTCGGCCCGATTATTTTTTGTCATATTTCGCGGTTGACAATTTTTTAGCCTGACCATTTTGGGCTCAACTATTTTGAGCCCAAAAATTTAAGGCCAGGCTATTTTTGGCTTGACCATTTTGGGCCCAAGCATTTCGGGCTTAATTTATCGAGTGACCATTTTGCACAATTTGGGTCTCACAATTTTGGAGCTAACCCTCTTAGACCCGACCATTTTTGAGCCCGGAAATTTTTGGCCCGTCCATTTTTAGACTGATCATTTTTGACCCAACTATTTTTGATCCGACCATTTTGGCCGGCTCATTTTTTGACCGCACATTTTTGTGCGGTCATATTTGGCCCAGCAGCTTTGGCCCGACCATTTTGGGCTCGACAATTCTCGGACCGACCTTTTTGGTCCGACCATTTTTGGGACCGCTCATTTTTGGCCCGGTCAGTTTTAGGTCGATCATTTTTGGGCCAACCATTTTCGGGCCGACCATGTTTCACTCGACCATTTTCATGTCCGACCACTTTTGGAACCGCTCATTTTTGGGTCCGACCATTTTTGGAACCGTTCATTTTTGGGCCTGACTATTTTTGGGACTGATCTTTTTGGCCCGGTCATTTTTGGATCGATCATTTTTGGGCCAACCATTTTCGGGCCGACCATTTTTTGACTCAACCATTTTCATGTCAGACCACTTTTGGGCCCGACCATTTTGGACCGCTGATTTTTGGGACCGACCATCTTTGGTAAGAGCATTTGGACCCAGCCATTTTGGGTTCAACCGTTTTTAGCCTGCGCATTTTGGGATCTACTGTTTTCGATCTGACCATGTTTCATTAAGTCATCGTGTAAAAAAGATTTTCCATGAAAAAACGGAAAACCGGAAATATCTTTACATTTTGACTGAACGTGTATGTATATTTCGATTGATCTAGATAGAAGCCATCAAGGCGAGTATTTTGAAAAAAAAATTAATCGGCGTAGTAGATTTCGAGATATTGATGAAAAAAGAAATTTAAAGAAGTTGATATTTCTCAGGAACTACTGGACCGATCGGGCAGAAACTCCACACCAAAGTGAAGTTTAATCACAGCTACCTGACCATTTTGAGCCTCATCTTTACCTCACCATTTTGCGGATCATTTTGGGCTGCATTTTTGGCTTCCATTAATTTTGGGTCTCATAATTGAATTGGCCTTTTTTGGATCTCACTAATGCTCGGGAATTTTCTACCTTATGAATCGAACATCTCATTAGGGCTTCAAGGGTTGCGGGCCGAATACATGAAAAGAAGTAAAGCTCAAAATTGATGTCCTCGAAGAACCTCAAAAACGAGACGAAGTTATGATCGCGGTTTATGAGGGGAATACTCTAGTCATAATACGATCGGAGTTGAGGGCATGAAGACAATCGGTTGAGGATTGGGAAGTAGTTGATTATTCCTTCAAATTTTAAAATTGGTTTACCACAATAATAATTATGATATCCCACAAGCGAAAATAGTTGTGCATGGCTTTCTTCCCCAAGAAAAAATAGACGATTATTAGGGAGATGATTTGACTGATTAGAGAATGCCACTGTATCTGGCACTGCAAGTTCGTGACCGGTTCGAGCGAGGAGCATAACCTTCATCGTTCACATAATCACTTCAGCCTGAACTGTTCATTGTCTTTCAAATCTGTCGCATACAGCTCATAGTGCGCTTACTGGCTACTTACGACTAGCTTGCGAGAAAATGCACCGTTCGGACTCAAGTTTATGATCTCGATGTCTTTCGAATATTCAATATTTGATTACATTTTTATAAGATTTTCTATTGTAAACATGTGGAATTAGAGCAGATGAGAGCCGTTGGCGCTCCAAAATCAAAGGTGTAAAACGTTATATAAATTCCGCTTTTCACTTATATACTCGATTATTTGAAAAAAAGCAACAAACAGTTTATTTAGAAAAAAAGTGTTGGAACATTTTTTTTGTCTCAAACAATTGCTTCAACAAACATAGAAAACAAAATCGGTAAACAAGAAATTTTAAAGGAAAACATGATATTTAAATGTAAATTTTGTCAATAAGTTTCTTCTATCTTACTCCAGTTTCCTCGCGATCGATCTTAAAATCTCCTTCTGTAATTGTCTCCGTACATGTTCCCGTATCTGTCCCCGGACTCATCCCTGTCCCTGTGCATATGCATGTATCGGTCCCCATATTCATCCCTGTATCTGTCCCTGTACCTCTCTCCGTACCGATCGTTGTACCTGGCAGCGTATCTGTTTCGATGCATGTCTTCCTGCATGTCTCCATACCTCTGTCCATAACCATTCCCATAACTGTCTCCGTAACCTGTCCCATCCCAGTACCTGTTTCTGGTGACGTGCCTGTTTCCGTTCCTGTAACAGTTAGAGTCTCTGTACCTGTCTTCTTCCCTGTGCCTGCCCCCGTCCTTGTATCTGTTTATGTGTTAAGAAATATATAAAATTAGGCCATATTATAGGTATATATTTTGTACATTTTTCGACGAGGGTATACCTGGTATCCCTAAAAAAACAAAAACACATGTTTTTGTAAAAAAAAACGCGCCAAGAAAAAGTTTTGTTTGGTTGTTACTGGGAAGTAGAAATTTTTGAAAAATACAAAGAAATGAAAAAGAAAGCCAAGTCAACAATGTCGAATAAACGAAAATAATGCACAATCAGATTTCTATCAGAGAAATAGTTTCAAATCGAATGAGGATTTAAAAAAAAATCTTGATGAAATAAAAAATTAGTAGAAGGAGGACCAACGTCCTTGGCGCGGATCAGAAGATGAACAATTAGATTGATACTAGACAATGAGTTGAAAAACTCCGCGCCAAGAACGTTGGTCCTCCTACTAATTTTTTAGTATGTTTCAATGGGTTGAATAGAGCGCATTGTATCGGGTGATGAGCCTTTACGACCCGGATCGTAAAGGCCCATCCTCTCTGCTTGACTAAGTCCGTTCGACGCAACACAAAGTGGGGATAACGCTACTGGAAAAGGGAAGAGCACGCTAGAATTTG